TCTTCTTCTTCTTCTTATTAATACTAATATTATTATGATTTTTATCATTTTAATAATAATATATGATTATGATTATGATTATGATTATGATGATGATTATTATTATTATTGTTATCATTAGTATTATCTCTACAATTCATTATTATAACTGCACCTGCAAACGTTCCCCAAGCCACATACAGCAAGGGCAACAATGTAACAATGGACACTTGTTGTTCTCTCTGTTTCAGTCAACGGCCAGCTAGTGCTCACTCTCTTCGCCAACCACAAACTGGGAGTGAGCGACCCAGCAATCTTCAACGTTCCAGCAAACTGCTGATTCTTATTATACTCTTGTCACAGATCGCCTCTCGAGATAGCATAGTGGCGTAGATTAGATGAATGAAATAAAGAAAAGAATAACTATATTACAATTCGTTATGTTTTGTTATTTCATTTATAATATTTAGTATTTATTTTGATTCTGAATTGCCAACGGCTGTTTAAATAGAGATAGGGGCGAAGGAGAAAGAGGGAGCGTATGTGTGTGTGTGAGAGAGAACAGGAGAGAAAGAGACAAAGAAGAGAGAGAGAGAGAGAGAGAGAGAGAGAGAGAGAGAGAGAGAGAGAGAGAGAGAGGGAGAGAGAGAGAGAGAGAGAGAGAGAGAGAGAGAGAAAGAGAGGGAGAGGGAGAAGAAGGGAGAGAAAGAAAAAGGGAGAGAGAAAGGGAGATAGAGAATGAGGGAGAGAGGGTGAGAGAGAAAGAGGGAGAGATAGAGAGGAGAGGGAAAAAGAGACAGAGTAAGAGAGACAGTAAGAGAGATAGATAGATAGATAGATAGATAGATAGATAGATAGATAGATAGATAGATAGATAGATAGACAGATAGAGAGAGAGTGAGAGAGAGAGAGAGAGAGGGAGAGAGAGAGAGAGAGAGACAGACAGAGAGAGAATTTTGGACAATTATGTAATAGATATTAGGAATGAGAATGAAAACAAAAGAGATTTATAATTTGAAAGAGCAGACACGAAGAGGCACACATTATTTAAAGGACAATTCCTCATTTTTGGAAATATAGATTACCTAATATTCCCTTTTAAGTAAATAGCGTTTTATTTATCTAATTACTCTCTCTCTCTCTCTCTCTCTCTCTCTCTCTCTCTCTCTTTTACGCTCTCTCTTTTTTTCTCTCTTTCCCTCTTTCTCTTTCTCGTTCTTTCTCTCTCTGTCTGCCTCTCTCTCTCTCTCACTCTCTCTCTGTCTCTGTCTCTGTCTCTGTCTCTGTCTCTGTCTGTCTGTCTGTCTGTCTGTCTGTCTGTCTGTCTGTCTGTCTGTCTGTCTCTCTCTCTATTTCTCTCTCTCTCTCTCTCTCTCTCTCTCTCTCTCTCTCTCTCTCTTTCTCTTTCTCTTTCTCTGGGTGTGTCTTAAACCTCACTCACTGTATTAATCTGAAATCAAAATCTGAGAGTTTGTCTTGACTTGACGCGTTTGGTGATATTAATGAACCCATACGGTCAGCAGATCCAAAGTGCTGATACATGAAGCCATCACGCCACTTGACAACTCAACCATAATTATGAAGCACTACTATAAGTTTTAGGTTGACTGTGATATTATTTTAATCTTCATAATTCAAAGTCGGCAAATGAATTGGTGACGCAAATACAGTCCACAATTTGTGCTAGTTTATAAAAAAAGTCAACTGAAAATCCACGATCTCTTCCAATATTGTTCATTAGATTAGAGAAGGAAATGGCCAATCTCAGACATTTGTGATATAATCAAAACCTATTATTCTTAATTACAGTACCATTCTTGAAGTAAGTCTGGTTTACTGATCTGCGCTTGATAATACATGCCTGTCGCCAACTGTAAATTCAAAAGACACCCACTTTATACGGGATGATAAAAACAAACAAACAACAACAACAATAAAACTTTTCATTTTTTTGTCTGAATATCTCGAAAAAAATTTGTACTAGAATGTTGTAATCTAGAAGTGATGTAATTAATCAAAAGGAATTTGTTTGAAATAAAATTCATAAAGAAGAAACTTGTTTTCGAAAACGGTAATGGCTTTTATAAACCCCCACCTAAATGCAAAATGCACTAATTTAAGGAAAGTCATGAAATGATTGCCCCCCCCCCCCT